CCATGTCCAGACCGGCAGGTAAGTCGTCGGCACGGCGGCGGCGGCCTCGAAGGGCACCGACCCTTCCAGACGGTAGGCGTTCACCTCCGGCACGGCCACCAGCTCGGCGTAGCTGCCATCCCGCGCGGTGCCGAGGAACCTGCTGCGTCGGCAAAGCTCATCCCGACCCGAACCGCACCACTGGCAAACACCGCAGGCGATGCGGGGGTTGACGACCACGCGGTCTCCAACCGACAGCGTGCTCACGTTGGCGCCGATGGCAACCACCTCGCCGGCGGTATCGCCGCCCAGGATCAGTGGCGGTGGAAACTCCCGTTCCAGCCCGCGCTGTCCCTGGCGCGTAAAGATGTCCAGGCGGTTCAACGCGCTGGCGTGCACCCGGACGACCACATCGCCGGATCCCGGTGTGGGATCGGGGCGGTGGCGCCGTATTGCAGTACCTCCACGTCCCCGTGGGCTTCGATATAAACGGCCTTCATCGGTAAAGCTGCTCCTGAGTGTGGATGCCCTGGCGTTGCGGACGCGCCCGGGTGTGGGCGCTCGCGTAGATTGACGTGGCTAAATCGCCGGGCGCCGGTTGTCGTAGCAATCCTGGCAGAGGAAAACCACCGCCAGCGTCTCGTCGTGGCTGGCCGCCTTGCCACAGCGTGGCACGTCGCTGTCGGGGGCCCAGGGCTGATGGAACGGCCCGCCGCACATCTGGCAGGTGGAGCGGTGCAGGCCTTCCAACTCCTCGTTGCAGACCACACAATATGCCGGGCCGGATACTTCAAATACGGTTACCACTGCACTACCTCCCATCCACGTAGATTCGCGTGAGATTAATTCGTTTCGAGCGCCCAGTGTCGGGCTAGTTGTTCTTCATCGTTGCGGTTGCGCGTTTCGCCATCCAGACGCGCCCGTCGCAGGGCACGCAACGCCTCGCCGACCGCCGGGCCCGGTGGCACTCCCAGAGCCAGCAGGTCGGGGCCGCGCAGCAGGGGCGCAACCGTCCACCATTCCGCCAGATACATCCTGATTCGTTCCGATGCCGACGCAGGGGCCAGCACCGTTCCCGCCGCCAGCGCGTCGGGCGACAAACCGTCCAGCAGCGCGCACACGTCCGATGGCGCTGACCGTTCCGCTGCCAGGCCAGGCAGGCGTTCGGTCAAGGTGGCGGTGTCGCTAATAACGCGCGTCCAATCCGTTGGAGTGTTGAGGCGAACGGCCACTGATGATCCGGTCGACTCGCGCAGCGGCCAGACCAGCGCCGCCAGCCAGGCCAGCGGTCGGGCCGTCCCAGTCGTGCAACCCGTCCAGGTGCGAGGCCCCCAGCGCCGGATGACTGGCGGTCAGGACGCCCAAGGCTTCCGCTCGCTGCAACGCGGGTAGCGGTGATGTTTCGTGAAGGATGCGATCCAGCTCGTGGCGCAACCGATCTCCGGATAGCATTGCGATTGCGCCGGCGGCAACCGCGGACTCCAGATCGCACCGGGTGTCATCGCTCAGGCGGAACGCAAACCGCTGCTCGTATCGCACCGCGCGGAAGATGCGGGTCGGGTCATCACGAAAACTTTCTCGATGCAGGGTGCGGATGATACCGGCGTCAAGGTCGGCCCGCCCGCCGTGAGGGTCAATTACCTGTTCCAACGCTGCGGCGAGCGGCACGGCCATTGCGTTGACGGTGAATCGCGGCGGGCCAAATCGTCGGCCAGGCTGCCGGCGGTTACCACCGGCAGAGCGGCCGGCTTCGGGTAGGTTTCGCGCCGGGCGGTTACCAGATCAACGGTGCATCCGGCGGCGACGACGCTGGCCGTGCCAAATCGCTGATGTACGGTGAGGCGTCCGCCGGTGGCATTGGCCAGGCTTTGCGCCAACGCCGGAGCATCCCCCACTACGGAGATGTCGAGATCGTTCACGGACACACCCAGCAGAGAATCGCGCACCGGGCCACCAACCAGAAATGCCGCGACCCCGGCTTCGTTGGCGAGCCGACGCAACTCATCGAGAGCGGTGCATTGATTTTTAGCAAAGTTGGCAATAAAAAAGCCGCCCATCGGATTGTCGGCAATGGTCAGCATGAAAAACTGTGTACAAGTGGAAAAGTGTTGCGAAAGTGTAGCATCAGTTTCCGGGCCCGGCAAGTGCGCGGCGTGGTCACGCGTACCCCCTTTATCTGTTATTGCGAGCGTCCTTCGACAGGCTCAGGACGAACGGTAGTCTTGATCGGCGGGTTCAGGACGAACGGGAATCTTGATGAGGTTGAATGCAGGTCGGCTGACCGCCGTTGCTACCGCGACCTTTCGTTGGGAGCGTCCTTCGACAGACTCGGACGAACGGTAGTCTTGATCGACAGGCTCAGGACGAGCGGGAATCTCGATGAGGTTGAGCATACGTCGGGGACCGCCGTTGCTACGACTATGAGATTGCCGCGCTGCGCTCGCAATGACAAAGTGGGTACGCATCAGCAGTGGGTACGCATGAGGGCCGCGTTATTCAGATTGCGTCGTGTATACTCGCCAAAATGCGAACCCCGGAAACGCGAACCGTCGTCCAAGAATACCCGCAAGAATACCCGACAAGGAGCAGCTGTACAGCATGGAAACGGTAGGATTTATCGGACTGGGCAACATGGGCGGCGGTATGTCTGCCAACATACAGAAGGCCGGTTACTCGATGGTCGTATATGACCTGCGCGAAGAGGCTGCCCGGCCCCTGCTGGAAGGCGGCGCGCGCCTCGCCAACACCCCCGCCGAAGTTGCCGCGGCCAGCGACATCACCTTCACGTCCCTGCCCGGCCCCTACGAAGTGGAGTCGGTTTCCCTGGGCGCTTCGGGGGTGCTGGAAGGCATTCGCCCGGGCAGCGTCTACATCGACCTGTCCTCCAGCCGACCCACGCTGATACGGGAGATTGAACCCCAGTTCCGCGCCAAAGGAGCCTTCGTCCTGGACGCCCCGGTCAGCGGCGGCAAGACGGGTGCGGCGTCGGGCAACCTGGCGGTCATGGTCGGCGGTGACCGCGAGGTATTCGACCGGGTGAAGCCGGTGCTGGACGCCTTCGGCGACAAAGTCTTTTACGCTGGTGAGATTGGAGCCGGCAGCGTCGCCAAGTTGGTGCACAACATGATCGGCCACAGCGTCCGCCAGGCCATTGCCGAAGGACTCACCCTGGGCGTCAAGGCCGGCGTGGAGCCCGAGGCTCTGTGGGAGTGTATACGCCGGGGCTCGCTGGGCAGGATGCGGGTGCTGCACGAAGGGCTGGTGCGCACCATGTTCCGGGGCGAGTTCGAGCCGGCCAGCTTCGCCCTCAATCTGGCCTTTAAGGACATCTCCCTGGCTACTGAACTGGCCCGCGAGTACGACGTGCCGATGCCGATGTCGACGCTGGCCGAGCAAATTGCCCTGACGGCAATGAACCGAGGCTGGGCCGAGATGGACAGCAGCATCACCGTGCGACTGCAGGAAGAGCAGTCTGGGGTTGAGGTGCGCGCGCCCCACGTCGATCCGGCGCGAGCCGGCCGCTTCATCAGCACCCACCCCGACGACGAGTAGGAGCGGTGCAATGAACATCAACGCCTACTTCCACTTCAACGACAATTGCCGCGAGGCTTTCGAGTTCTATCGCTCGGTTTTCGGCGGCGAGTTCTCTTGGATCGCAACCTTCGGCGACGGCCCCGCCGATATGCCGGTGCCCGATGGTGAGAAAAACCGCATCATGCACATATCCCTGCCCATCGGCTCCGGCGTGCTCATGGGCAGCGACACTACCTCTTTGTTCGGGCCTCCTCCCCATGCCGGCAACAATTTCTCCATCAGCATCGCCACCGAAAGCCGGGCAGAAACCGACCGTCTAATCAATGGACTCTCCGCAGGGCGGAACCGTTGCCATGCCGCCCCAGGATATGTTCTGGGGCGCCTACTTCGGTATGTGCACCGACCGGTTCGGCTTCAACTGGATGGTGAACTTCGAAACCGCCGCCAGTTAGCATTGCCGCCAACCGGCACTAACTGTTGCATCTAACTGGAACCGCAAGGGCAACTCGCCGGAGGGTCTAACCATGAAAGCGTCATACTTCGGCTGCATGGGATATTCGGAGCGGCATTCGCTGCCTGGGGCCTGGCCGGTGGCGCCGGCGCACATCGACCCGGAAGCCTCCGAGCGGTCCTACCGGGAGGGATTGGCCGAATGCGAGCTGGCTGAATCGGTGGGTTTTGACTGGATCAGCGTATCGGAACATCATTACTCGGGCACCCGGCTCACCCCCAGTCCCGCCGTGATGGCGGCCACCGTCGCCCAACGGTGTCGGGTGGCCAGGATCGCCATGCTGGGGCAGCTCTTACCCATCAACAATCCCGTTCGCGCCGCCGAAGAGATCGGGATGCTGGACAACTTGACCGGGGGACGGCTGGTAGTGGCGTTTATGCGGGGCACTCCCAATGAAGACGCCGTGCACGGTGTGGATCGTGAGGAAGCGCGGTCGCGGTTGCTTGAAGGCATAGATATCGTCCGCCACGCACTCACCGCCGCCGAACCATTCGCCTGGCACGGGCAACATTACGACTACGAGACCATCGCAGTATGGCCTCGTCCCATTCAGGGGGTGTCGCTGCCCATTTTCGTGGCCACCAGAAGCGAACCCACGGTTGCTCACGCCGCGTCCAACCGGCTGGGTGTAGCCGTTTCCTACGACCGCGCGGAGGATATGCAGCGGGTGACTGAGGCGTATTTCCGCTGCTGTGAAGACGCCGGCTGGCAACCCACGGCCGATAACATTGCTTACCGGGGCGGCATCTGTCTGGCCGAAACCGATGCCCTGGCAGAAGAAAGACGCGCATTGATTTTGGAAGCTGCAGCGGGGGCATCTCAGAATGCTTCGGTTACCCCAGGCCGGGCAACCGCGTCCGAACTTCCAGATGGGCCGCCCGATGGGCGTGTGGGGTTAGCCAACCCTCCCCAGACCAACGTCAACCGGGGCATCGGGTTCATGTTGAACTTCGTGGGAAGCCCGACACGGTGGTGGAACAGCTGCGGGAATATCACTACCGTTGCAGTGTTGGGGTGGTGGATCTGGCTTTCCAGCAGCCGGGACTACACCATGAAACGGTGATGAAATCCATCGAGCTGTTTGGCCGCGAGGTTTTGCCGCGCATCAAGGAGTTTTAGAAGGAGTTGCAGGTGGTACTGGCCACAATCCGAGGCGCTCCCCTGTGACTTCTACTTCACCCTTACCCACTTTAACCTGTCATTGCGAGGAGCGCAGCGACGTGGCAATCTCGATGCGGTTTAGTACACGTTGGCGAACCACCATTGCTACGGCGACGAGATTGCCACGCTGCGCTCGCAATGACAGTAGGCCGGTTTGGTTTGACGCAGTGGGTACGCGTGAGCGACTTCGACACGTTGACGCTGGGTGCTGGCCAGTCTAGCATGGGATCAAAGCTGGAAAACACCAGCCCGGAGCGACGATGACCACCAAAGAGATGAACTCGCAGGAACACGGCCAGACTGCCCGTGATTTTTTGGTCGCGTCCGACCGGGAATTCGCCTCGGGAGACGACCTCCAAGGTTCGGAAAAATTGTACGGAGCGGCCACCCACATCGTATCAGCCCTGGCCCAGCAACGGGGCTGGCAGTATCGAAGCCACCGCTCCATGAAGAATGCGGTGTTCCAGCTGGCGGACGAATACGACGACCCGCTGGTCCTGGCGGGCTTTCTGGCTGCGGAACGATTCCACATACATTTTTTTCACCAGGATTTGGAAGACTACGAAATAGAGTTGAACCGACCGGTAGTCCACCGTTTCGTCAACCATATGCTGGCCATGCTGGACGGCGGGGTCGCCGGCGTGTGAGGCCGTGGCGATCGTTTGTGTCCCGGTTCACAATCGGCTATAATTTACTAAACCCTACAGGGTTGGGAGGGATCGCATAGTGGTCTAGTGCGGGCGCCTGCTAAGCGCTTATCCTGGGAAACTGGGATCGCGGGTTCGAATCCCGCTCCCTCCGCCATTGTTCCCCGGGCTCCCTCAGTCGGGACAACTGAAACCGAGAAAACCGCACCGGAACGGCCCTGTGAAGACGGGATCTAGTTAAATGCAGACTTATCACATCTGGACCATTGGTTGCCAGATGAATACCGCCGACTCCGAACGCTTGGGGTCGGCGTTAGAGCAACTGGGCCTTTCCGCCGTAGAGCGCCCCGCCGACGCCGATGTGGTCGTGCTCAATTCGTGCGTGGTTCGGCAGAGCGCCGAAGACAAAGTTACCGGCAACCTGAACCTGACCCAGCCGCTGCGCAAAACTCGCCCCGACTCTGTGCTCGTGCTTACGGGCTGCATGGTCGGCCCTCGCACCGAAGAGCTGCAGCGCCGCTTCCCCCACGTTGACCTGTTCCTGCGACCGCAGCAGTTCGAACCCTTGTTGGAACTGGTTGGCGACCGGTTGGGTCTGGACTGGGAAGGATGCGTAGGATCGCTGGCGCCGCAACGACCCGACGTGGCGACCTACGTTCCCATCATCCACGGCTGCGACCTGATGTGTTCCTTCTGCATCATCCCCTATCGCCGCGGCCGACAGGTGAGCCGCTCGGTAGCTGACATTTCCCACGAGGTGGAACTGCTGGCGGCTCGTGGCGTGCGAGAAGTAACCGTACTGGGTCAGACCGTGGACGCCTACGGCCACGATCGCGACGACGGCCACGACCTTGCCGACCTGTTTACCCGTCTCAATGATATTGACGGCCTCGACCGGGTACGGTTCCTAACGTCCCATCCGACCTATATGAGCAGCCGCATCATCAAGTCGGTTGCCGATTTGCCCAAGGTTTGCGAGCATATCAACCTGCCGGTGCAGGCGGGCGACGATGATGTACTGCGCCAGATGCGCCGCCCCTACACCGTCGCCGAATACCGCGACATTGTCAGCGAGATTCGCGACACGGTGCCCGGGGTTACCGTGAGCACGGACATAATCGTGGGTTTCCCCGGGGAAACCGAGGCGCAGTTCCAGAACACCATGCAACTCGTGGACGATTTGCGGTTCGACAAGGTGCATGGCGCCGCATATTCCACCAGGCCCGGCACCATCGCCGACCGCACCATGACCGACGACGTACCCAAGGACGACAAACGTCGCCGGCTCAAGGAACTGGACACCCTCCAGGAGAGCATCCTTACGGACATCAACGCGCACTACATGCAACAGACGGTGCAAGTGTTGGTGGAAAGTCGCAAGCGAGGCCGCTGGACCGGCCGCACCCGTGGCAACAAACTGGTGTACTTTGACGCACCAGATGACGCCGCCGGCGTTGACTTCGCCGGCCAGCTCGTGGATATCACCATCGACCGCACCAGCCCCTGGTCGCTGGGCGGGTCGGTGCAATAGCTGGTATCCCTAGCCGCTAATTGGCAAACGCAGCTTCGACGCACACTGACCGACGTATATTCGGTACAAATTAATTGTGAAATTTAGCACACAGTTTACAGATAAGGAGGCCGCATAAATGGTTACCCGAACGCGGCAACCCACCATACCCCTGACCGAAATCGAGCACGCCGCCTTCTGCCGTCGCGCCAGGACGATAAAATTGTAATGCGAAATAAATTAAAATTTGCTGAATAATTTAGCGGCAAAATCACTGGCTGAAGAGATTGCGATAAACGTCCGCTGGCAAAAGATTCCAGGCGAGTATCTGGCCTGCTCACCCGCTGAGCTGGACGAGCGGATTGCTGCCGCCCGGCGCACTCTGGGTGAGGCGGTTACGGTGCTGGGGCACACTATCAGCGCGAGGAAGTCATCAAGTACGCGGATTTCCAGGGTGATTCCTTCTTGCTCAGTCAGGAAGCGGCATCCCATCCGGAGGCTGATTTCATCATATTCTGCGGCGTGCACTTCATGGCTGAAACCGCCTGCATCCTGGCCGGCGAACATCAGCAGGTTATCCTGCCCAACATTACCGCCGGCTGTTCCATGGCCGACATGGCTCCAATTCAGGACGTGGAAGACGGCTGGGAAGACCTGCAGAATGTGCTGGGCGATCACGGCGGGATCGTGCCGGTTACCTATATGAACTCCGTGGCCGCCATCAAAGCCCTTTGCGGTCGCAACGGGGGCGCAGTCTGCACCTCGTCCAACGCGGCCGCCGTGCTGAAATGGGCCTTTCAGGATGCCGACCGCGTCCTGTTCCTGCCCGACCAGCATCTGGGACGCAACACCGCCCTCAAGCTGGGCATCGGTCTGGACGAAATGGTCGTCTGGAATCCCTTCAAGGCGATGGGCGGCAATACGCCGGAACAGCTGCGTGCCGCCAAGATGGTGTTGTGGCAGGGCCATTGCTCGGTGCACACCCGCTTCACCCCCAAGCAGATCGATTCCGCCCGAGAACGCTATCCTGACGTAACCGTGCTGGTTCATCCGGAATGTACTCGCGAGACAGTTGAGGCCGCCGACATGGATGGCTCTACCGAGTTCATCCGCAAGGCGATTAACGAGGCGCCGGCCGGTTCGGTGTGGGCGGTTGGAACCGAGATCAGCCTGGTGAACCGTCTGGCCAAGAACAACCCCGACAAGACGGTGTTCTGCCTCGACCCGGTGAGCTGCCCGTGTTCCACCATGTACCGCATCACCCGGCCTACCTGCTGTGGACGCTGGAAAGCCTGGTCGCCGGAGAGGTGGTGAACCGCATCAAGGTGCCAGACCAGATGCAGCGGGAATCCCTAGTAGCCCTGCAACGGATGCTGGCCCTGCACTAGCCGCGAACGCACACACTAAAGAAGAACGGCTCCGTATCTCTGCGGAGCCGTTTGTTATTGAGAATGACCGGTTTATGCGGTGGCTTGGAACACGTGGACCACGCGCGGCCCTGCCGGCGCCATGAACTCCGGTTGCACTGGGTCGCCGTCCACCGTTGCCGGGCCCCTCCGGTACAGCCGATGCCGCATCGGACGGGTCAGTTGCGTACCCGCCGTTGACGCTCTTACCAATTACCCGGCGTCTTCCAAGCAGTCGCGGAGGGGGCGGTTGATGCAGGAGAAGATTGGCGTGTCTTGCAGCGTGTAGGGGCGGGCTTTGGATTCCCGCAGTTCCATCACCAGATCCAGGAAAGTTCCCGGTTCGTCGGTTTCGAAGCCCAGCACAAACTCGGGGTCGTCCAGGCCGAATGAGTAGGCCGTGGAGATTTTCACCTGGGGATATTTGTGCCCGATGACGAAGTGCTCGTTCATCAGTTCCTGGCGGTCCTCTTTGGGAAGCTGGTACCAGTCGTGGGTCTTCCAGAAGGGATACATGAACAGGTAGCGCCGCCCGACGATTCGCATGGACGCGGCATCGCCGGAACCTTCTTGCCCCTCGTGCTGGTGGTCGTCGATGTACGGCGACCGTCGGGTCATACCCAAGTAGGAGTGAGGCGTTTCCAGGTAGCCGCCGAGCCGCGTCTGGTTCAGTTGCGCGGCCAGCTCGTTGATGCGTTCAAGCTCCGGGGACACTCCCCACAGCATGAAGTCGACATCGCCGCGGGTGCCCACCAGACTGTAAGTATTCAGCGAAACCCGGTCGGCGAACTCGGCAGCTACCGCCGCAAACTCGTCTTTGCCGGCGTCGCGTTCAGCCGATGCCAGGCGACGCCACTCCGGTTGCCCCGGAAGAACGTATATTTCACAAAATCGCGACGCGGATCCGCCATAACTTACCTCTCGTAGTGTGCGGTATGGTCCCAACTTCACGATACCATGTTCAGTTGCAATCATAGCATAGCGGGCTGGGAAGTCTGGCAAAAGTCGGAAATGGGTTACAATCGCCATGCGCGCGGCGCCGGCTCTACTGGTGCGCGCAGATCCCACGTGCCCGGATATATTCCCGGATATATTCACTGACCGTAACCAGCGCAGGAGGACTCACAACATGGTAACTATCGGAGAAGGTCAATACACCTACGCCGTGCAGGAGGGCTGGGGCCAGCTGCCCGCCGGTTTTGCGTTCAAAGAGGTGGCTGCCGTCGGTTGCGACGAAAACGACAATGTCTACGCGTTCAATCGCGGCGATCATCCGATGATGGTTTTTGACAAGGACGGTAACTTTATCAAGTCATGGGGCGAGGGCGTGTTTCCCCGTGCCCACGGCATCACGATGACGCCGGATGGCAACATGTTTTGCACCGACGACGGCGACCACACGGTTCGCAAGTGCACGCTGGACGGCGAAGTGCTGCTGACCCTGGGAACCAGCGGACATCCGGCGCCGTTTATGTCCGGCGACCCGTTCAACCGCTGCACCCACGTTGCCATCGACCCGCGCAACGGCGATTTCTTCGTCTCAGACGGCTACGGCAATGCCCGCATTCACAAGTACAGCCCCGACGGGCGACATCAATTCTCCTGGGGTGAGTCGGGCAACGGCCCCGGCCAGTTCAATATCGCCCATAACATCGGCACCGACCGCACTGGTCGCGTCTTTTTGGCCGACCGTGAGAACCACCGCGTGCAGGTGTTCAACTCCGATGGCACGTTCCTGGGCCAGTGGACCGATATGGCGCGCCCGTGCGGGGCTGTATATCGACCAGGCCGCCGACCTCGTTTATCTCGGCGAGTTGGGGGCGGCCATCGGAGCCAACGACCAGGCTTCGGGCCTGGGGCCGCGAGTCAGTGTTTACGACACCGACGGTCGCCTGCAGGCGAGGGTTGGCGACGGCCCGGAGGGTGAAGCGGCTGGCCAGTTCATCGCCCCGCACGGCGTCTGCCTCGATTCTGCCGGCAGCATCTATGTGGCGGAAGTTTCGTGGACCCACACCGGTCAGCGTCTCACCCCGCCGCGAGAAGTGCGCTCCCTCCAGAAACTGGTCAAAACCGGTTAGGGGTCGCGTTTGACCAACATCGATGAACAGGATGGACAGGATATTTTGCTTCCGCCAGCCTGGCTAATATCCTGAACATCCGGTCTCTCAATGTTTGAACCTGATTTTGTATTGAGCTGATAGCATGGAAATTCGCATTGGAAGTCTCTCTCGCGACGCCGGGGAAGCCCGGGGCGCGGCATTGGTGATTGATGTTTTTCGCGCCTTTACGACCGCGGCGATCGCCTTTGACCTCGGGGCCGAACGCATCACCCTGGTTGCCGAGGTCGAAGAGGCGTTGGCCGTTCGGCAGCGTAACCCCGCCATCGCCGACATCCTGATGGGTGAGGTTGGCGGCCAGCGCCCGGACGGGTTTGACTACGGCAACTCCCCCTACGAGGCATCATCGGTGGATTTCGCTGGTAAGACGGTCGTGCAGTCAACGCGCGCTGGCACCGTGGGCACCGCCGCCGCCGGAGCCGCCGGTTGCGACCCCATCTACGTAACGTCGTTCGTGGTGGCGGGCGCGACGGCGCGGGCATTGCTTTCGGAAAACCCGTTGCCGGAGCGGGTAACGATTCTGGCAATGGGCGACCAGGGAGTCGACCGGTCCGACGAGGACGAACACTGCGCGCTGTATCTACGTAACCGGCTGGAGGGTCGCAACCCGGATCCGGAAGCCCTGCGCAAGCTGATCATGGCCGGCGGCGCAACCCAAAAATTCTTCGACGATGACACAGCCGCAGTTCCACCCTCGGGATGTCTCGCTAGCCCTGGAAGTGGACCGCTACGACTTCGCAATGCGCGTGAGCCGGGAGGACGGCCTGCTGGTAGCGCGGCGGGTGGGGTGAATGATTTTGCAGCCCTCCCTTATATAGCTACAGTTCCCTGATGGCGCAATGCTTGCAAGCGCGAATTTCCTCGTAAGTGTTGGAATAATGGAGGCCCCTTGCCTCTCTGACTGCCGCACGTAGCGACATTCTATCTGCAAGGGGCTTTCTATTAATTTCAGGTGCAACATCGCAATCTTCACGATGAACCGTTTCGTTGTATTCGCTCCCATTGTCCAAGACTACGAAGTACCTCATAGTGCTAAATCCTCGGTCAGTATTCATGCTAAATTCAGCCGATGTCCAACGCCCTTATAAGCACGTTGTTACTACCATGTACAGATGGTTCCCGGCACCACTGATTGCGCAAAGTGTTAACGGCAGCGATGGCCTGTTGATTATCACCCAAGCCCAGCATCTCCAGTGCTACATAGTCAATGCGATGACGATTGGTGTCGCGGAAAGCGTAGGATGCCGGCTGTAGTTCCAGTGTTGACAGGTCTCCGTAATGGCGCTGCGCCGCGGCCCTAGCTCGCTCCCCAGCCTCGCTGTTAGCAGCGAAATCGGGTACGGGGAATCCCGCCAGCGCCCTTATTTGCATCGTAGCCCGGCCGGGTTGAGTTGTCTGGGCGTAGCAGGTTCGCAACATCAATCCCAATGTCGAATTAAGCCAGATGGACAGTGCGACCTTCACGTTGTCGTCGTTTGGCTGCAATGCTGTCCAAGCTCTGCCGCCCATTACTGATTGCGGGGTTCGGGCCGCCGCCAAAGCCTGCGATGTCATACGCAGATTGCGCGATATAAACAAGTCGCTCCGCTGGGCGAGCATCTGCTGCAGGATATTTTCGTCATCGATAGCAGGCTCGCCATCATGTGTTGGTGATACCAGCATTCGCATTTGCGTTTCAGCGTCAGCGGACCACAATGCGGGATATGTTGAGTAGAGTACCGGGAGGTGTGTAAAA